GTTTCTACATTGTTACACAAACAAGAATAGCTAGTACTGGCTCACTTGAAGATATCACACGCTGATCGTAATTAATCAAAGTCAGCATAAAATGAGCTCTACCTTTCGTGAGCCTGCCCGTGCCTCCACATGTTGGACAAGTCTGTGTTAAGCTCTGGTCACTGTTCACAGGATTCATTCTATCACCGAATTCTTCATAACTGTACACAGGACTGGAGGGTCGCTCTGTCGCGACATCGTTGTCTGTTGTGGAGAAATTCCCATCACTGGTCGGGTCGGAAAGGATGTTGTTCCCTATGGCAGTCATTTCGTTTTTCCGTGTGTATTTTCGGAACCACCGCGACATCATATCGGCGATATCGGTCTCATTTAACATATGTGGACAGCGGCTGTCCTTCAAAACAGTCCATGCTTCAAATAACTCTTGAGCTTACCCAGGATGCTTTGAGAATCCATACCAAAGATGGCGCTAGCTGTTGGACTTTCGAGATCTAGGGCAAAGGTTTGTGTTGCAAGATTTTCATTTTAACACATTTAAAAAGCATGACAAATATTGTTGTGTTGCCCCGATTCCTTTCCTACCTCAATTTTTTCACAACAACTTGGCAAGACTGTCAAGTTATATGATTATTATTAAAGCTAACACTGGTTCAGAGATTTCAATTTCCTCCAGGACGTAGGATCACCTTCTGCGGTTCTATTTGAGTTATTTTTTCTTCGATACACTCTGATAATTTTTTTTGTGTGTGTTTTCTATTAATCTTATCTAAATATCATGGTTCAATGGTTAGTTCCACCACTGTGTTACATTCTGGATGAAGTTGCTCGGCTGAGTTTGAGTACAGACTGCAGTTATTGCATTTGCTCTTGAGAAACTATTTTTGCAGCACCCCTCTCTGCCTTTGCCCCCCAGTTGTTCAAAGGCTAGAAAATGCTACCCAACGCATAAATCACTATCCAGCAGTTAGTGTAGTTTAGTTTGTCAACACTTAACACTGGATAGTGGTTTGTTAGGTGGATATCATTTATTATAATCCATCAAATATTTTCACTTCCGTGTGATCGGTCTAAGCGCATCACATGACTGAATATCCCCCAGCTAAAACTGGGGAACATCCAAGTGATATTCCTCAATTGTCAAAACCCTGCGTGTTGTGAAAAACATTTGAAGAATAATAAACACAATACCTTTCATTTGGTGCAAAAGTATGCTCTCCTATTCGTCCATGGACATCATCTGTTTGTCGAAGCTCACAGTTTTCCTTGAGCTACGCTCTCGGAAAACTGTTCATTTCTCGTAACAGATAATGTCCACAGACAAGTATCTGAGCATATTTTCACACCAAATGGAGGATATTGTTTATTTAGTGTAAATGGGTAATATGAATAGTTAAGGCAAGCAGACAACAATGTTGCCTAGTAACCAGTGTCAGACAGAGGGGACAGCAGTACTCCTGCCGTGAGCTACTTCATGCTAGTGGGTCACTTTAGTCCAAAATCAAATTTTAGCTTTTTCTTTATAAATTTATAGCTGTAAATACCACTTCCACCTGCATTAATTTCTCTCTCAGTACACGTTCAAAAGTTTACTGTATCCTTCAAGTCCAAATTTGAAAATTATATGTGCTGTTCTTTTTTTCAGGTCTTCCAGCCATTTATGTGCTGTGTAAAAAATACTTGTAATCTGTTAGCAGCATCACAGGTGAGATTTACAATGACTATAGAAGAAAAAGACATTCACATAATGTTTATTTGACTTGGATAACCCTCACATGGAATAGAATGATTTATCACCTTACTGATAGGGCGGTTAATTAAAATCAGCCAATCATAATGTGATACTGTCAGTCCTATCTCTAAGTGCTGAACTGGATGAAGTTTCTTGAACTCTTTTTCAATCAACAAATTGTGAAATAAGTTTGTTATTAGCACAGCTTGTTCAAAACAGTACTGAGAAACATCAGTCTGTGGTCTTTCTGTTTAGACTTGGGCCTGATACGGCAAACTGCCGCTAATAGTACCCTTCCCCCTGGTTATAGGCCTCCTCCTCCCCAGTTAAAGCTCTATCTACCTGTAAACCAAAAATTACATCTGGTTGTAAGCCTCCCCCGCCTCTCCGGATATAACTCCCCTTTAGCTTTCCTTGTTTTGAATTAGTTTTATTATGATGTTTTAAAGCTCAATCACCAGTAAATGAAAAACCTATTTTGATCAACATTCTATAGCTCTGATTTTTTATTCCACTTATAAGCCCCCTTGGATATAAGCCCCTCCATTTATAAGTCTATCTAAAAGCCCTTATGAAGTTGTAAAAGCTCAGTAGGCTTATAAGCAGCAGTTAATGGTATTCTATCAGTGTAGCCCTGAAGTGGGGGGTACAGGGGGTCAGAACCCCCTGTCCCCCCCCCCACTCATGTATGATTAATAATAATTTTTATTAGTGCCCTACACAGCCCATTAAATGATGATCCAGTAAACAGTTTCAAAGGATACTTATAGCAATATAACACTGTATTGATAGTATTATTATAGATGAAGATGCAATCATAAACTCAGGGAGTACAATTTTACTTGAACTTTCTAGTATAATATATAACCAATTTACAATAATGACATTTCATTAATCTATTTCAATTGATAATCAAACTTTTATAACCAAATATCTTATAATCCAGAGCCTTTTAATTTGCATTTTAAGGTTCCAAATGTCTTTCTGTGTTGTCATCGTCGCACACGGACACCTCTTCCACTGCGCTACCAGTACATGGACCGGTATCAATATGGACTTTATGCCAAGCAACCTGCCCTGATAAAAGATGCAGCCCTGGAGTCTGCGCGCCTGGCCATCATCAGGGCAACCAAGACAAAGGACTTGTTCATGGTTACAGCAGACATACCAGTGACAAGGAAAGCTGTGGGGAGTAGAATGGGAAAAGGAAAAGGAAAACTGGATCATTATTTAGCTAATGTCATGGCTGGAAAGGTTATATTTGAGTTTAATTGTGACAATGAAACTCAAGCTATGGAAGGTATGAAGCAAGCAACATACAAACTTCCAGTCTGCACACAAGTTAGAATTAAACCCTCAGGAAAGAAGGAGATATGGATGGACTTCTGAAGCATGCAAATAAGTCGCAAGAAATGACACTTTTCCCTTATATAGCCTTTGTGCATGCTGTCTGCTTGTTGGAAAGGAGGGCTAGGCAGAGGTGGTGGAGTGTTTTGAAACATGAGGGGGCTCATTGTTAAGCCAAGCGTTCACCTCTACTCGTATTCTCTAAAATGTCTTTTGCGTTGTTTGTTTGCAGAAACAAACTTCTTTGCAATGTCTACTGTGTTCAATATGTCTGTAATAGACTTATGACAATGCAGACAGGGGTAGTTGTTTAGACGATCCTTCTTCAGGATGCTTTTAAGGAACACAAGCTGGAGCTGTTCAAAAATTCCTACGAAATAATATTTTGCCAAGCGCAAGCATGATAAAATGATTTGTGAAAAGATCACGAAACAGAACGTTTTGTCGAACTAATTTTAAGCTGTGCTAGCAATATTTGTGGCACTGAAAGATGGGGGCATTGAGCCCCCCAAATTTTCGTTTGGGGGGACAACAGTCCCCCTGCCCCGCTGCACTGCTGCCTATGGTAGGAAAGGAGGGGCAGTGTTGGAGTTGAATAAGATGCAAAAACCTTTCCCTCTCTCCCGATCGATCGACACTCGACCGTGGATGCCTTTACGACACATGATCTGTTTTCCCTTCGGTCTTGATGATCACAAAAGTATGTAGATGACATTTGTAGCAAAGGTGTCATAATTCTCATTGACTTACCCAAAACATAGGAAATTGCGGTTCAGTTTTGAACAGCTTTTGGCCATTAATTCTACTTTTTGGTTTCCCAGTCTTCCATTTGTGTTTTTCAACAGGTTGAAATGATAATTTAGCGGTTTTGCTTGATATCAAGACCAGTTAATTTGCATAGTAAAATCCCATCAAACCGTATGACGTAGTTCAGTGGCTGAAGCAGAAGTTTCCTTGCCGTCCATTAGCGAAAAGAAAGTGGTGCTCGTAATTAGCGGGGTAAACTTCAAAATGCAAGGACAATTATTTCCACGTCATTGATAAAATATGAATAGTGCCAAGTATGCTTTGTGTGGTTTTGCGGGGTTCTCACCGCAGCAAGTATGGAGAATATAACCGAAGGGGCACTTACGTGCGGAGAACGAGGGGGACGGTTTTTATTTCTGTCTCGTCCTCTGTATTTTACTTGTTAATGACATTTTTTAACACGACCAGCGTGTGAGACTACGAAAATATATACTGAAGGATTTCATTAACTCCAGGTTATTGTCGTGATGTTCCGCTGAAGTCTTAAGACAAACTTTAAGAGTTCTCGTCGGAGTTGGTATAAAGAAGAATAGACATTTCAAACTGGCCGTGTACTTCTCTGATCCCCTTCCCTCCCCTTCGCTATCCATACCCTTAGTTGCTCCATCTCGATCGTGCACCCGGCTTGCGCGTCCTCAGAAAGGAAAGGACTGCTATGCACAAGTTTTTTAGGGGTAAATGCGGTGTTGAGTCAGATTTCGGCATCTGAATTTGAACATTTTAGATCAATTTCGTTCTCAGTGAAGTGTATTTCAAACATGATTTCAATAATCATTCACTAAGGCCCAGAGATTGAGTTTCCAAGCCCAAAATTGTTCAGAAGGCCGACTTTTTTTCGTTCTTATTTCGTCAACGTGAAGTCGCGGGTAAAACTGACCTGTAAAACTGAGTGTAGTAATTTTTCGCGCAACGCATGTAAAAAGTAAATAAACGACCGAAAACCTTGGCCTGCTCGCAGGTTACGGTCAAATCAAATCAAATCAAATCTCAACTTCAAGTGGAATTTCTCAAGAAGCACTAAAACGGCATCCAAATTTAGCCTGTATTGTTCCGGCATTCGGAAAAAGCAAAGCCAAGGTGTACAGCTATAGAAGATCGTTCAGGCATAGATCCTGTCACACAAAGCAAAGAATTGCCGACACTTATGCAAAAATCAACACAGTATGTCCGTTACTGGGCGAAATAAGCATAAATCAAACCGAGATAAGATCTGGACATGTGCTTTTTCCATCCTTAAACCCGAGCTGTTGGCGCTTATTAGCAGCTTTCTGATCAATGAACGGCTTTCAATTAGTCAAATGATCACCTTTTTAGCTGCTTGTACAAAGAAGATTGCTTACAGCAGCTGTTAATGCGATTACTCTCCGATAGAGAAAAAAAGAATTAGTTTTCTCCCGGGATTTTCTGTGGTCAACGTTGATCGATCGATTCTGTGGAAGGCTGGTGTTAGACAGATCAACTAACTTCAATAACAAAAATCTGATCTCTACGTGGTGTTTATAGTTAGATCATTAGACAGTCGTGAGATTTGTTTAGCACCCCCAAGAGTTTCGAGGAAATTGTTCGTACCGTGCTCCGGATGTGGAAAGTTTGATGACATCTACCTTAATGACGAAGGTTTGTACGTTTGTTTTGTTTATTGACACGTGTGTGCTCCAAATTGTTTGTAATGGATTCCGCTCTCCCTGTCAGGGCCAACAGTTTCGTTTATCGTTCGCACCTGCTCTCAAGTTGTACCCATAATAACTCGCCAGTTTGGGAATTACCATGCGCAGCTTAGATCTTATCTTAGCCGTTTGTAACGATGTTTTTGTCTCCTGGCCATATGGTATCTTTTGCACGTACGCAGATGCGACAGCTTCAAGACAGGTGATGGATTGTCTGAGAAAGGTCCCTCGCCTCTCTCCATCTCAAGACCGATTGCCGTTTGTTTATTAAATCCTTTTAGCTGTAAACATGCAATTAGGCGAGCCAGGTGTAACCAGATAATAAAACCGGCACGTGTTCGGGATACAACCCAGAAATCTCTGCAACCTGCTATTAAACTAAAACGTTTGTCTGGATGCCTGTCTGTCTGTCTGTCTATTTCTCCATCCCTCTTCACGGATTAGTTGAATTCTTTGGTGTGTGTGTACATAGAACTCCTCTAACTTCAGAGTGACGAGTAAAGATCGCGTGAAGATCTCTACACGCTGTTTAAATTTATCATCAATTAGTGCATTCCCTCCGGGAACGTGCGCGGAAGGCCAGTGAAATGTGGAAACCAGCAAATGTCTAAGGATTTTGAAGACGTTTATTTAGCTGCGAGGTTCTACAATACACCTTTTATTTGGTCAAAACAAGCGGAAATACTCTCAGGCTTCTATTTATTTGCAAGCTGAATTGGAAAGACAGCAATTATTAATTAGTATAATTTTTACAAAGGCATTTAGTCTTCTTAAGATACGAGGGAAGTGTAGTTAATTTCTCAGAACTTAACCGACTAAAGAGGAGATTTTAGAGTGGAGAAATCCACGTATACAACACTCAGTAATTAAATTTCATTTTCTTAGCTGCGTATACGAGCTCACACGTAAAGAACTGAGACAAATTGTTGCCTCATATACGGCTCTCCATGGCCATGCTCTCTTCACGTGCTTTGTAATCATCGTGTCTGGTGGATAAATTAAACTTTTATGCCATTAATCCCGGATTGCCAAAGGGCTAATTTGGTCTGATATACTGTTACAGATCATATCTACCTAATCCCAAGCCAACGATATTCATTTCTCATCTTCTTTAAGGCCTTTAGTTAAAACAAGCTTTTGGTACTCTTCTACAATTTTTCCTGTCCGTTCTTTCATAAATTAAAGAGCTAGATTCCCTTCAGAGGCTATCGTTAGCTTCACGAGTGAAGGAAGATGAATTCAGCTAGAGTAGAAAGTTAGAAAACGTCACTGCTTTTCCGACATAGCTTTTGATGTCGGAATCGAGGGTTATAAATGCGATATGCACTGATATTAGTTCGTCAACTCACCCATAACATCGGTATCACAATTATTGAATGTCCGCTCTACATAGTTATCTACCTTGGGGACACGACTATTGTAAATAAGCTAAACACTGCAGAAAACAGCCTCACGAACCTTCACTGAGTAGCGAGCTACAAACCCCGGTGATTGTAAAGATTTCAAATCAAGAATATCTCGTATATCTCGGAGCCGAGAAAAAACACTTTTACTGGCCGGCGGAAGAAACGGCGTACTTTAGGGTTTTTCACGCCAGAGTAGGTCAATTTCCTCGTGGTGCTGGAATAGACGGACGGCAAAAGAGAACGGAATATCTCGGTTAGTTCAGAGATGATACGATACGTTAATATGTATATATTCAAGCCAAACAACGGATCGACATAATCTTAGTTGTAGCAGATTGTTCGCCTGGTTCAGTGTGCTTATGAGTAAGTACGAAACTTTTTTCTATGGTTTAGTGAAACCGATTTCACCGCCGTACAGAGGTTGCTACTAGAATTGCTACTAGAATTCGTTAAGGGAGTTGTAAATTTAGGCAAGTTGAACATATAGTAATTAACAAATTGGGTAAACAACATTTCAAAGCTGGAATTTTCTTTCGCTTAAATGACTGGTGGCGGAATTATATACTACAAATACATCGGATGGTATTATCTTCGTTATCTGCCATGTTTGTCTGAGCTCTAAAAGCGGAACTTAATGCACCTTGTTTCAAATCGCCCGTCTGTCAGTAAACACGAGGTGAACTTAAGAACTTGATGGAAATAGTGGAACTAGTCTCACGAGTGATCTCAGCAAGCCATATCATTGATAATTCGTTGCTATCAGTGCTCATTTTAAGCCAGGAGCGAACGATCAGCGTGATCAAGAATTGTATTGTTTTTCGCGCCACTAAGTGCTGTGCGCAGACCGACTCCCACGAAAAACAATCGACAAAGATCTAAAAGCAATCTCGAGGAATTAGTTTAGATATGATAATGGCTCCATACGAAGACATCCAAAGAAAACATAATATTAGTTGATCTTAGTCGCCTAAGAAAACGCTAGAAGGAAAAAAACACATTTTTGCAAAGAAAATGTTTCTTTTGTTTAGTTCCTTATGCTTCGCTAGAACTATCTAATGAGGTCAATTTCTGCTAAATTGGACGCTTGACATATCTGGGGAAACAAATGCCGGTTAAACTGTCTCTCTCGACTTTGAATCTAGCAAATTCACAGTACGCTTATGTTTTCGTAGTGTTTTTTCTAATTAGTCAAGGCACAATTTTCTGTCAACGGCCGCGGCATACTTTTTTAAACAAGGAAAACGCCAGTTTTGAGGAAGCTCTTAGAACTGCAACGAACTCTGGACTTGAAAATAACAGCAATGAACATCTTGTTTCATCTTACACGCGATCTTAAGAGAAAGCAATGTTCTTTTATACAGAACAAGAAAAATCAGCCTTCGTTAACACGCTCTAAGATCTTAATTCAGGTCTTTGTTCATTGTTTATTTGTACCCCTGCCGCTTTCATTCACGGGCCACAATTATAAGACTACCTTTAATCTTAAGAGACCCTTGCACATTGTTTCTTTTACTAACAAATGCACCTTAAAATAAAGCATTTTTACTTGCTCAAGCGACCGCAATTAACGCGCTGTACGGTCGCCAGGGGAAGGAACAAAAGGCTTGAATAAACAGCCAAACACAAAACCGTGGGAAAGTTTGCGATTGTGTAAAATATGTACATTTTTAACAACTCCTCCATGTATCGGCATTCCTTACAAAGCGCGCACTAGTAAATCTTGACGCGGCTCGGAAAGCCTTAATTGATTCTTGGAAACGGGTCAACTCACCCCAGCCATGCTTAACCAATGCTTTCGCGTTTTGTGTTTAATCAATTAATGCACCCGACTTAACCTCATTTAAAAAAGTATGTCAAGCACGCTTTAAAAGAGGGTCGATGTGCTTTGTTTTCCTAAATTCTATTGTCCAACGAGGTCGGCAATTATTATTTACTTATTTTTCATTTTTTACACGCTCCGTTCGTCTGTCCACTTTACACCAGTGGTTAAGAGAGAATGGATTCTCGTTTTTAATTGGCCCTTTAAACAATGCACTTTCCTTTCTCTTTTCAAGACACGTGCATAACATAGGACCGGATAACGTCCCCATGTTCCAACCAATCAACGTCGCGAGAATTACTTGACAGAATGTCATTTATTTTACTTATTTATATATATATCGTAATCTTGGCACGGGGATACCGTGTTGATCAAGAGTCGCGTAGCTTGTTACAATTTTTTTCCGGAGTTTTATCATGAAGCGCTCGTTTAGCGAGAGTGATCTGGACGAGGGAGATGATTTCCAGCGAAATCAGAGAGAGTGAGTGTTGTTTAAAACTTTGTGACCTGTTGACGCAGTTAAAAGTTTATTAACAATCCCTGATCGTTGATTCATTTAAGTTCCGATGCAGTCGACAGCGACACTCCCGAGGCAAGTGCGCGAAAGAGAAGGCGAGGGGTGAGAAAGATTTATTTCGATTGTACAATTTTATGTGCACAAAATAGGTTGACACTTCTATTTTATCGACAGCAAATTGAAAAGAAGAGACGAGATCGAATTAACAGTTCACTTGCCGAGTTACGGCAGTTGGTCCCAGCAGCGCTGAGGAAACAGGTGCGTTTTAATAATAATTCCATTAAATTCAAATTATTTCCACGTGACTGCGAAACCTTGCACGCGAAGGCTCATTTCGATGGGAAAAATTTTCCGTCGTTATAGAATCACTTAATTTTGGTATCCAAGAGCTAAAATTGGCAATATTGTGAACGCTGAAAAATTTTCCTTCTCGACTTTTCTTGTGTAGGAATTTTAAGAGCGCAATATCATTTGTATCGAGCTATGATTTCACGTGTAAGAATTGACTTTGTAGGGATCAACGAAGCTTGAGAAAGCAGAGATACTCCAATTGACAGTCGAGCACTTGAGAGGTTTAAAATACGGCGCTGAATACAGCAAAGGTGAGAGAGCACTACAGTAAACAGTGGTGACAAAAACTTTGTTGAGAGAACCACTTCTTTCTCAAAACTAATATCACTTTAAGACGAGCCAGGAGATTTTAAGGGGCTTCTGTTTTAGCTTGTGCAACGCGTGCAACACGCTTGTACCTCACCTCGCATAGGAAAGCGAAAGTTTAAAAGCTGCATCAGTAGTAAAAAAGCTGAGGCGAAAATTAATAGCAGAAATCAAGGGCTCTTTGTAACTACGAGCAAAAGAATTCTCGTTTTCTTATGTTGTGGTTTCCGCTTGATATACATCACCGGCAGAATAAGAACTGGCTTAGTATGCTCTGGCACAATAGCGCAAAACAATTTTAAGACCTTTTATCGTCCTGTTGAGTTATCGTGGTAAAGGACTTGATTTAATGATCGATGACCGGCAGTTACTCATGTTTATTCATCCATCTTTCGCCCGCAGGTTTCGCCATGACGCACGCCTCGGATAGTCGCGTAACAGAGAACGAAGAATGCATAGCTGATGGTAAACCATGCCTGTCCACCTCGGCGGACAGTTCGCAAACCGCACGCTTGTCCCCTGCAAAGCTGCAAATCATTAATCACTTCAACTGGAACAATTCAACACAAAGCGGGCAACATAGTCACCCAAGTTCGCCTCTGACAAGTCCAACGAAGGTTGATTTAGAACCATCGTCATCATGGCAAAGTTCTGGTGGGTTTTTAGCGCATTTGAAACAACAGGAAGGATGCCAAGGAAAAAAGACCGAAGCACACAACAGACAAGAATGGGGGATGTCTGTTTCTTTAAACTGCCCTTCCATGTTTCCACTGCAAACACCAGGCCTTTCAAATGTTTTTCAAGCTCCTTTTCGACAAGCCGTACCTCTGATAGACTGGTCGATGGCCTTGATAACTAAGACTAACATTTCTACACCTTTCCGAACTCCTTGGGCGCCCTGAATGAATTTACTGGCGCGAAATAAAGTTTGCGTTCGGGAAATTAAGTAAAATATTCATGACATCTTCGGTCAAAAACAAGCAAGGCTATAACTACTCAGTGATGTGAATACCTACCTCTCTACTAACTGCACGAGCTTATTGCAGCTAATGAATAACTTCTAGTATCTGGGTGTAAACTTTCAAACTTAGCCATCACTAATATTACAGAGGATTAAAGTTTTTAGAAATCTTATTAAAAAAGACACGATGTAAAAAAGCCTTATATCTTAATCAAAGAAACTTTTTGTTTGGTCATAATCAATAGATCCTTCGTCTACAAAGTAAATAAGTTTTTTTTCTTTTTTTGCGAATTAGCATTTGATTATTGACTGAATGCGATTTTCTGCTCTCTCGGCTGAGTCTTGTTTGGATAATAACAAAGATATTGCCGAAATTTTCTTTTTTATAATAACATCGGCTTTTGTGGGATTACGTTCTAAAACTCTCCAGCTTTCCCTAATGTAGGGAAGAATGGAAAACCCTGTGGGTGATATTGCCTCACTCATAAACCTTTCAAAGATTACTCACTCGAGATAGTTATTCGTGCCTAATCCATAATACAGCCTCTCTTTTCAAAGTTACCAATATCTAATTAATTTGTGAAACTGCGCAATTTCTTAGTAAAGTGGGTATGGTTTTACACTAACAGATGAAAAACGCGCGTGTATTTTCTAGTTTAGAGCCCTCGAGCCGAAAAACAACTACCTGTGAAATAAAACGCTCCAACAATCAAGTTTTTTTTTTTTCTGAAGATGTTCAATATTGATCACGTTGAGTGCTTCTTTGTCTAATCCGCTTTTAATTCGATACTACTCTGTCGAAATGCCGGTTCATTATCAGACACACGAATATGCAAATGTCTAGATTTTTCCATAAATGCCGACAATTTAATTGGAAATTGACAAATCTCTTCCTTGCGCAGTAAACTGACTAATGCCTTTGTCTTTGTGGTGGAATGTCAACTTAAACAAGTTTAAGGACGTTAGGATATGAGAATAAATGTCTTTATCACTGTCAGGAGACATGTCTTGCCTTAGAGACTCAGTATTTCATGCAGTGTCTAAAAAGCGTGAAACAAGCCCACTCATGACTGTTAGAAATTTGTCTGAAGACAATGCAAACGCGTGGCACTAGGTTTCGAGAGGTCCCTGGGAGCAAGTTCAAGATACAAGGCAGCGGACCTCTGTTTCTTCACCAGTGATGTCATAGAGGAGTCCTCGACTAAAAGACCCCGCAGGGAAACTGGGCCCAGAGAGAAGAGAGAGGACCCTGGGAACGACATTTCTCGGTTATATTTTCGATCTGCGCCAGACTCCACGCCTCCGACGATGAGATTTTCTCCCGGGGGATGGGGTACTCCCTTATATTGGCTATAAAGGTATGTGTGGCCCCAAAGGGTATGATTTTTCCGCCGTTGTGGTCATAAGCGGAGCTATGGTTTCTGCACTCTAGTCTTGAATTCGGTATGTTTTTTAGAAGGTACTTTTTAATCATCATCGATAACTGACCATTAACAAAACCTCTCAGGAGCTAGAAGCCCATGAATCTTATCATGAATTATGTTAAGGGCAACTGTGCCAGCTGCAACGGTCATAACTGGGTATCGAATTTTTGGTCAGGTCATAAAAAGGTAGGGAAAATCGTAGATTTTGGTCATAAATAGGGAAAGGATTTCTGGAAGTGGGCCGCACACCTTTACTTACCCCACCCAATTTTTCGGGGAGTACCCCCGGGGATTTTTTTGTTTTAATTTGAGTTTCACGAGTCCTTGTTGTTGAAATCCAAATAAAGTACTGTGTTATGATGGACCACTGTATAAGGACTGATTCGCCTCACATTTCTTTGACAGAAATTTCACATGATACGCATGTGTAACTAGTAACTTATAGAAATCCATGTTACTTTCTATACCCAATCAGCGTGATTGTTAATTTGTCGAGATTTAGAAATGTTTGGGAATCAAGAGCAAAGTGAAAGCCAAAACGTGATATCGATATTTCCCGCGCTTGGCACCGGTCACGTGCTTTTGCTGCTAAGATCTTGGTCCTCTTAGGGGTTCTTTTCAAAATTTCCGACGATCACCCCCGTCCTTTTTAAATGGGAGTCTCCCCTCACCGGCAAAACCGTGCCTGTCACAAGGAAATGTCGGGTGCTTGTTTTCGCTTCATTGGAGAACTTTGATTGAGGGATCAACGCGTCCTGCCTGACACGGTCAAGGTAGTCGCTCACAGTAATACATATTGGTTGTTACTTGCGGCTAGACACGAGTTTATCTCGGCTGTGCGCGCCTGTTGTTGTCGGTAATGGGAGAGGGCTGTAGAGGGGACGGGAACGGTCGGGATCGATTGACCGTTGCGTTACATACGAAGCGTCAAGTCACGCTCAATGCAGTAGATTCTTGACTCAGATTCTTGTCTCGTCTCCTTTACATCTCGACGTGACAGTAATAACCGTTGAGATCACTTGAATTAAGCCCGCAAGAATTTATTTCGCAGATTCCGAAGTCGATTTGGTCCTGTGTTTGGAACGTTCGTGAAAATACCACACTCGCGCTGGCGAATGTTTGTATGAATTCATTTGCATACGATTACTGAAACCTGTGATCGCTGCAAACAAACATGGCGTTTACGCCACTGTTATGGCTAGTTCTCTTCGTGGCTCCTTCAACAAGTCTTGCTCAATGTCCTAAAAATTGTCTTTGCTCTTCACAAGGAAGCCCAGGATCGCCGAGTTATAAGAAAATCGTCGATTGTTCAGGAAAACTCGGCAATTTGGAAGTCGCTCCCGACATCCCAACGGACGCTACTCATCTGTAAGTGAATATTATCGTGCGTGAATATTTCACGCGTTTAGTTTACTTTTATTATTGTTAGGCGTTGTGAACGAATATTTACAATTCCTTTTTAATATTTCATCTTTTTTTAATCTCGTTCGTGCCCAGACGAAGCAAGATCGCACTGCGACTGTAGGCGATGTTGCCTATGGAGGGGCAAATATATTTTCGTACAGTTCGCGTTAACAATATATACATTTAACTACCTCGATAGGTAATCTTGAATGGTTCTTCACTTGATCTTCAGACACATGAATGATCATAATGTTTTCGCCGATGTCGTGCATCTCAAACTAAATAGACGCTTGATAGCTTCCTCTGGGAAAACGTCAAGACAAGAAAGCGACCTAAAATAATAGAGACCAACAAAAACTCGAGAACACAATACGACGTAGATACGACACTTGCATATTGTGCTTGAAAGTGAACAGCATTTCTCCGAAATCGAAAGAGACTTTAAATGTTCTTTCTTTTATCAAATTAAAATATGAAGCTTTGGCAGCGGGGATTCGCATTTTACGATCGGTAGCGTAAGATGCTAGTATTTATTATTTATTTTGTTATTCAGTGGTATGAAAGTTACATACACGAGGGATATTACAATTGAAATCTACAACGAAGTCAACAGCGTGTCGATTTCACGTTTTCTATGTAGCGAAAAAAAAAAAAAAAAAAAAAACTGCTCAATTTCCGTCTTCCTCCCTAAACATGTTGGCACGTTTCAGCTCACGAACCATTTTGTAAATTGTTTTCCTTTCTCGCTTACGAGGTTTACATTTCCATTGACACCTTTAGCATCCAATTGTTAAATTCTGCTGAACTGCATAAATTAGCGCTTAGGAAACAAAATGACGTGTTGTTATCGAGTTAGCGCCCTTGAAACTATCGTTAGTTATACTGCTCTGGGGAAATATTTTTAACAATGTAACTAACGCGCGTTCGTTGCAGTTGCAATTAAACTCTTCATTTAATTTTTCCCGAGGTCAAGATCGCGAGTTTGACCTTGTCAACTGAAACTATTCTTACATCACGTTCAAAACGATCCAGTGCAATTAAGTTATAAACAACAACAATGTTTAGCGTCTCTCTCTCTCTCTCGATCGCTTTAATTCGTCTCAAGCAATTTGTTTTGGCTTGTTACCTCATATAGAAATTTTTCTGCGCTGGAAAAAAGACGCATAACCGTCGTATTATACGAATTTTCAAAATTGAATACGATATCTTTGATGGTATTTGTCATACGTGTTGTTTGTAACTTTATTTTCGTATGCCATCCGTAGAGCTGCGTAGAGGTTGAAATTTATTCCATCGACCATGTGATCTGTTGTTTCATATTAGTTTCATTTCAGTGTAATTGAGTCAATTTCAGAGCAACGCGTCATTAACTTTGCAATTAATTTTCTTGTACATAACGTTTGTTAATTTGTACCTAGGTCAGTGTTTATGCGAAGAGCATGCCGACTCTCCAATCGTTTCTCAGTTTTGTTATCTTGCTAATCTATTGTCATTCCCTGATATTTTCATGTTTGAAACTGGAATTAATAAACATTTACCTCAAACATAGCGTGCCTCTAGCGTATTAACCATGACCGTTATGTGAGCTTATTTGCATTAATCTATCATGTGTTGTCCGCATGCTGAGCTTAGAATCACATGCTGAACATATCTAATACACACGATTTTCGCCAAAGCAGTACCTGTGTTACCAACAACAGCCTAATTTGAAAACAATCGCTTTTTTTCACCTTTCTCGCTTCTAATTTGTTTTTCAAAATAAATATTTAGTTAATATGCCACGAACTTGTCAATTTTACGACCGCAGCCGTGATGACAATCACGTATGAGGACGATTTGCTAACCGACTATTTCCATGACTGTTTCTGGAAAGTTGTTTTCTTTAGAAACAAAACTGTTGAAATGGTGAAACAGCTGATCATATGTGTTGTAAATACAAGAGAAGTCGCAACAATTTGTGTCACGCGACAGGCAGTTTGGTCCAATTATTTTTTTTAGTTTTCAAACAGTTCTCATAAGTTCTCTCAGTATATGTTTTGTGAAACACTGACACAGACATGAGGATATTCTGCTGCCAAAACAAAAAGACTGAAGCAGAGGAGACGAAGAAAAAATATACTTCAATGATTAATTAGAACATGCGTTCAGTCACGAAATAAGAAACTGTATTTATACTTGGGTTTACACAACGAAGTGAAACAATAGTCCATTCAAGTCACAAAGTGGAGATTTAATCACACAATTGGGGTCATCTTTGCAGGAAGGTTTTCTCGCTTTAGTTGTAATCTGATCATTTGTAAGCTTGTTATGAAATCTGTGCCTTTCGAAGACAATTATGGCCAGTTAAGTAACTTAGGGATTTGTGTATTTGCTTATCCGTGTATCATGAACTTGGGAAGAAATTTATCTTACTAACCCCGGTGAGATTTTAAAACTATTAAATGCAGAAAAAAAGGCAGTCGAGACCCCGGAAGACCATAAGTAAACAATAGAACTACTATAATTCCAAAATAACGTGCGCGGATCTTCGTGTGGGGATTTTCGGACAGAAAGTGGTAGTAAAATTGGCGGAGTAGGGCGCGGTAAGGTAGCTGGGTTAGATTAGTGAAGGGTTGTTTTGGGTAGGGTCTAGAGGTATCTCTCCTGGTTAGGGTAGGGCAGAGTAAGTTAGGGAACAGCAAGTTAGTGTCTATAGGCTAGGGTAAGGTAGGCTGCTAGATTATGGTGGGGAAGGATAAGGTAGAGTAGGGTAACCCAGGGTAGGGTAGGGTGTCACCGAGGAGTCAATCTGAAGTGTTCAGTGCTTCATATTTGTATCCGTATAGAAGCCGCTCAAACTGGTTTTCTTTGCAGTCGTTATCTGTCTTCACGTAAAGCTCTTTCTCACTTCTTGTAAAGCATCTTCTATTTTCGCGCTCTTGACGGATACAATTTTCACTGATCAAATGTGTCATGCAGGGCAAAAAGTAATGTTTAGGGTTTTCTTTCTAACTGGGTTTGTCCACGAGGTATCCAAGCTGGTTTGTTCAAACAAGGATGCTTTTTTTGCAGAGACTTGCGTAACAATCGTCTGAAGATAGTAGCATCAAGTATTATCCAGAAAACGCCTGGTCTGAAAGAACTGTAAGTGGAGTTTTGATTATGGTGTTGAGGACACCTTATTTTATAACATAACTGAGATACTACGCGCGCTCTCATTGGTCGATAGGTGTGCTTAGATGAGAGCATGTAAACACAGTTGTGACGTTTTAGATTCGCGCGCATTCTTGAGAAATATTCCATTAAAGCAATAGAGTACTTTTCCCGTGTTTACAAAGCCCGGCTCATTTAAACACTTTGGGGGCTGGGTTAGGGTTATGTGTCACAGGTTTACACAACTGTCTTCGAGTTCTCCGAACGCCCCTCGTGTTTAGATGAGGCCATGTAAACACGAAAAAGTACTCTATTGCTTAAATATATAACGGCTGGTGTAATGTGCCTTCTGTACACTCAAAGAGCGAACGGAAGACAAGTAAAAGCTCTTGCCGAGCGCGTTGACCTAAGACATCACCACACTACTCAAAAAGTCACTTTGGAGGTTTAGTTTTCTTTGCACCATGAATACTTTGAGCTTATTGACTGACTGGGGGGGCCGGACGGCTTCAGGTTAACACGTGCGGACCGAGCGCGGCAACACGTGTGCGTCCTGATCAAACGTCGAATACGTTCCCGCCCGGCCCCTCCCTCAGTCAATAGGTATTTTATCATACCACCTTTTGTGAGCTTCGTACGGTGGTATAATAATTTTTCCGGGATTCCATAGCCAATCTTCATAGCTTGGCTCACGTAAATTCTCCAGTCCCAACAGTTTTATGGGACTATTTCAGTGATTGTTGACACGATTACTGTATTGACATTCTGAGTTCATACGAGTCTACCGCAGTTCATTTGAGTATTAAGTTTTAGACATAGAAGTGTTTTCTTTTCTTCACCAGTTACTTGAGTGGAAACCAGTTGACCTGTGACTGCAAACTGCTCGGTGTTCACAATGCTAGCCTCCACCTATCCAAGTTTACAGGCACTTGTTACAAGCCGGAAAAACTCAGTGGCAAGGATATCGCGTCTCTTAAGCGAAGGGACTTCTGTCGTAAGTGTTTTATACTGATTCTTACCGCTTTGTCATCACAACTGATAGAACAGAGTTAGTTTGCGAAACACACTGTTATTTGCGTGAGCTCGGAACACGCAGTGTCCGAAAAGGTCTAGGCTCGATTGCCTACCGCTGTCCGGGAAAAGAGCTCGGGCTCCCTCTCAAATCGAGTCTAAAAAGGGTCTGGAAAGAGTACGGATGAATGAGAGGGATTTAGGCCTAGGAGAGATCGCTTTTCGCTGCGCGAAAAAGGTGTGATATTTCTGTGAAAAATAAAAGAAATTAGGAATGCTAGATTTCTTCGCGGAAAAGTTTTGGCGGGCTTTTAACTTTGAAATGCAAACAAAAACAGTTTAAACGAGAAATAAGTAAGTTGTAAGTGTCGAAGACTGAAAAGAAGGGAATGCGGAATTGCCTGGACGGTACCACGGAATCCAAGCTACTAACATAGTTAGGAAATAAGAATTAAATTATCGTAAAAAGCTTAAAAAACGCGTCTGCACCTGAATTCCACAAGTGTAATTTTTATTTTTTAACAGGTGGTTGTGCTTTGGTCAAAGAGTCTCAGAAGTCAAACATTGATAAAGAGTACTCCATGGAAATCAATGCTAACTGCGACACTCACGTGCGACTGTTTTGTCGAGGAATGAACACCGACTCTCCCAAAGAATATATTACACTTTTTTCTGTCCAGAAAGAAAACTTTGCTTACGTTCACGACTACATACAGCCTTCCGCATCGAAAGACAGTTGTGATAAGGCCAACGGTGAGAAAACTCTTGTTTTTATACATTCATTTGCAATTTTAAGGCTTTTTATGTATGATATAACCCAGGTTCATCACTACAAGGAACAAACCTTTTCTCTTCCCCTACCCTCCTCGTAAACCGACGTGTCCCCTGTCAATGTTTTTGCTCCCTAAGTTCACGTTTCCCTTCACTTTTGCGCCCTTCCCTGGTCGCCGAAAAGAAGAAACGATCATTAATTTTGCATGAGTTCGATCTCAGGCTGTCACAGAATTCTGTCATTTTGTCCTACAAGATTGAAACAGTTTCTACTGGAAGAACTAAATTAACGATAATGGCGATAACTAGATTAACATAAGCTTAGTTCTTCATAATAGCAACGACTCGTCTCAAACTGCAATTTAGTTAAGCTAAACTCCTTAAATTTATTTTCAGGAGGCTCTACATACACCGAGGCGGGATCAACAAGTTTCTCTAAAGTCCGCCTGGATCTCAACAGTATGACTATTGTAGCCAATGATTTCCATTACTCCACTACAAGCTCTGGAAAACAGATCAAATATGGTGAAGCAGGAGATTGCTATTCTGCCAGCAAAGAAAATTGTCGGAAAGGAAAATTTAAAATTGATCTTACAGGAACCGGTTTTCGCCTTAAGGTGAGTTTAAAGACAAGATTATACCCTTATGTAGTCTACTTGGCACTGCATTTGCTCGATCGGCCTCTAGACTCACTTCTGGGATCTTCTTAGTCTTTCACAGTGGTAGGTTTGGTCTGTGAGAATGGAAAGTGATTTTGAAGGTGTCAGGGTTAACAGCCCAGTCAAGGATGCAATGTTATCAGGATACCAATTAATATATTAACATCTGTCAGTCAAAAATCAATCCATCCATCAATCAAGAAAATAATCAATTTATCAGTCAATTAGTCAGGCAATCAATCCATCCATCAATCAATCAATCAATCAATCATCAAGCAATTTAATATTAACTTGCTATTGAATTATAACTGATAATTAATAATCAATTAATCAATTAATGATCATCTATTGATATATGAATTCACCCATTAATAGTTAATTTGTTAACAGAAGATCAATTTGCCCTTTTCTTACTTTTTTCGTTCTAGGAAGAAGTTTACTGGGAACCTTATGGTACTCCATCAGATATGAAGAACATACTGAACATTAATGATGACCGTACACGAGTGTCTGCAGAGTGTGGTGGCTATTGTGGAGGTTGTAGGCCTCATGGAAAGTTAGGAGTGGAGTTGGATCAAACGTATTGCCCACAAGAGGGAATTAAACGTAAGACAATTGTCACAACACCTCGAAATATTGTACAAGATGTCCCATCCATCCATCCCTTCCCCTCCCCTTTTCTTCACCTCCCCTCTCCCCTTCACTCCCCTCCTCTTCCCTCCCATCCCATCCTATGCATTTATCCATCCAAACATTGTGTAGTAAGAGAGTAATTTGTCATGTGGCTTTTGATCAGTGTAAATAGGACCCAACAGGAACCCTTTACCCTTGAATTCAGCGGCAGAGACAGTGCCATTCTTTTGCATAACAAACATGGTTCTTCAAAACACAGTATCTCACAGAGGCTAATCAAATATTCAAGAAATCAAACATTGTTGTTTATAACGGTTGATGCACTTAGCTACACCTAGCTAGTACACAGACATGCAACTTAAACTAAAAGAAACAAACATATCAACTAAAGATAATAGGCTTAAAAATTCAAATTGGTGAGAGGCAGGCCAGTTGGCTAGTTACAAGCATGAATGAGGAGTTGAACCAGGGTCTACCAAGAAACAACTCCAACGTAGTGGTCAGAACAGGACTTGAACCCTCGACCTCCCGATTTCAAGTCCGGCACCCTAACCACTCGGCCACGCTTAAACCAATTAATAACCCTTTCATGATATCTTGGCAGCTTGCCATCAACCATTAGGAATGGAGGACCGTTCTATTACAGACAGCCAAATCACAGCCTCCAGCTTTAAAAATGACCGAAGCAAGAGTTTCAGACCAGCTTACGGCCGACTGAACAACAGACCCTCTGGAGCTATGGGTGGGGCTTGGTGTGCAGGAACATCAGACAAATCCCAGTACCTACAGATAGATCTGAGAAAGGAGATGACATTATCCGGTGTTGCCACTCAAGGACAGATAGATGAAGCCAACTGGGTTGCAACATATTCCATTCAGCACAGTAAGGATGGAACCAACTGGAAGGATTACAAGGAATTTGGATATAAGGAGGTATGTTTTGTTTTTCTGACGGTTTTACTTAAGGCTCTGAAACACATCACTTGCAGCAAGAAGACGCCCCTTTAACTCTGCCCAACTCAAATTCAAAGGAGCTACGTCACGGTTTGCGTTTCGTTAAAAGATAAGCCAAATTTTTCAAGATTGTCGTTTGCAATCCGTGTTAATCATAACAATTACAGTTTCCTCAAATGTGGTTGGTGCATAAACTGCTGTATTTTGCTCTAATTAATCTGCAAAGCTGTAATCGACAGTGTAATCGGACAGTTGGCTGTAATCGGACACCTGTAATCGGACAGTTACACGAGCCAATCATTTTAAGTCCTCTCCACTAAATCCACCAACCACAACATTGATTACAATCACTATGGTAACCAATTCAAGAGACTGACTTTGTAAAATTGTGCAGGCTAAGTCTCTGGTGACTGTTTTGAAAGAAACTTAACAGCCATTTTGCAAGCTATTCTCCATATTTTTAATTATGATATTTGAAAATGACTATTAAATGCTCTTTTTGAAATGAATTTTTGCTTTTGTGGGAAATTGTAATTGTTATGATTAATTGGTAACAAGACATCGTGTCGTCCAATTCAGTCTGAAATCACACTCGTGATTAACAAATCGGACTCCC